TTAAATTTTATGTCGATTTATGTTCGTAGATGCATATGCAGGCCTAGGACTTCGAATAGCCCCCATATAACGCTACCTCCCTATGTTCGGCATTATGATGAATTTAGCGACGTTATTCATAGGATTTTTTTCAAGTTTCGTATTAAAATATTTTAATGGGGAAAATTGAATTTACAGGTCCTCGTCTTCCTATAGGCCCAATATAACGGTAACTCCCTATATTCGGTATTTTTATAATTTTAGCAGTATTATTCAACGGATTTTTTTTAACAATTTTTCCGAATGCTAGAAGGTAATTATTTAATATTTTTTTTTTTTTTTTTTTTTTGGGGGGGGGGGGGGGGGGTGGTGTTTTAGTCATAATTTCAAACCGAAATTACTGTAAATGTGAAACCTCTCTATATTCGGCATATAAATGCTTTTAGATTTTTTCAACGAATATATTTTAAATTTAGTATTTATTTACTTTAGTGTTGACAATTCTCTTATAGAAAATTTTTTACAGAGGCCGTTCCGATAATTGGTACTTTGATGACTTATGTCACATTTTTCGACGGAATTGTTTCAAATTTAGTATTTGGAGGTCATTATGAGTACCACTTCCTTTGACAGAAAAGTTACGTATACATGCCCACACTTTGGTATATCCCCCATATAATGCTTCCTTCCGATATTTGGTATTTTGTCGAATTTCGTGCTAATTTTCAACGAATTTATCAAAATTGGTATTTTGAGTTCACAATAGGCATCACCTTCTCTGGCAGATAATGGCCTACACATATACACGTGTTCATTTATGCCATGTATAACTTTAACACCCAATATTCTATACTTTAATAATTTTCGTGGATTTTTTGAAATGTTGCATGTCACTTCCAAATAAGTTCGGCCCGGAATCTACTAGATTTTCATGTAATTATTGAAAATTTTGATTTTGTTGCTCGGTGTCATTTAAAATTTTGATCCTTTTCGGGGGGTGGCACCGATAGTGTCGATTTTTACACATGATCTAAGTCTAATGTAAATATTACGATGTGCGAAGTTTTGACACTCTCTTTGATTTCTACCAGAAGGAAGGAACCCTTATATTTCACATTTGCCTAAGATCTAGCATTAAAAGAAATATTAAATAAAATCAACGAATCATAACGCCCTTTTCATGAATCAGGATCTTTCAAAATTTCGAACTTAGGTGAAGGAGGTAACAAAGAGAGAGAAAAGGTGAGAGTGCCAATGTTATCCATTTTCCCACCTAACCTGATAAAAACTTTGCAATTTCCCAACTTCTTACAAAATAAATAAATACTTTCCAGGCTGTCTGCAAAATATATAATTTGCTCTATTTGTGGGGGTATCAGTAACAGGAGAAGTGAGCCGAAGATAGCCTCTTTGAACTGGATCTTAGGTTGGGAGAAACATTAGGCAGATTTAGGAGAAAACATACGCCGAATAGTTTTTCAAAAAATTTTAGTTTTAGGTTCTCATTGGCTTTTTGGTTGATTTTGAATTTTTGACATATTGAAATTTCTACTAGATTCCCGATCCCGTACTTTCTGGCCAAAGAAGTTCTCTTAGTGGGCATCTCACATTGATTGAAAATAATACTAAAGCCAGACACTTTTTTGATTGTAAGACTGGTAAAAGAGATTTCACCAGTCCTACCATCAAACAAGTATCTGGCTGTGATGTTATTTTCCAACGAAATAAGTTTCCCATTGTTTCCTTCCTTCTTGACCTCTACATTGCATGGATCACATTTTCCATTACAATGCCTTAAACTATCGTAATTTAAAATTAATAAATTACAATTTCCATTTTCATTTCCATTACAAAGAAAATGCTATAAAATAAGCTTTCAATATTCGTGTGGCAAGAAAAGTAAATAAACAGAAAACGAACAGAAAGCTATGGAAGAAGGCAACAACCACAAATGTCTAATAAAATTAACTAAAGAATAGAGAGCTGCTATTGGCAGAATTCATGTTATTTAGCCGTGATTCTACCAAGCAATTCATTTGGCCCAAAAACACATCCATCCATCCATCCGTCAATATTCTTCAGCATCATCCAACTCTACATCTGTTCTTCTCGATGATGGCTGGCCAGGGCAAATGGCGTTGCTCATTATTTGGTTGGTTCTGCGAAAAAAGAGCGTTTTAACACACGGCCAAATATAATGATCGTGTGTTGCACAAAAAAAAAAACACATCCCATGCTCAGTACCAACACCACACACATTTTAGGAAAATAATGACACGAGCTACTCAGCGCAAGAAGATTAACCAGCCATTACGTCGGCGTTGCAGATACCACACACACGCACCCAGAAGGGTCTTGGAAAATTAAATAAATTATTTTTTAAATAAATAACCACACAAAAAAACAGCATCAACAGATTTCATAAGCTTCTTTTTTATTATTATTGTTTTTCTTAGGTCAGGTTGAATCTGAAATAGTCATAAATTTTATTTTGATGAGCGAGTTTGATTTCCTGTTCGAATTTTGTATTTTTTAGAATAAATTCTAATCAGTGGCCGTTGTTTGGTTTTATATTAAATCAAACGTAAACGGAGGGGAATAATTCTTCGTAATTTATGGGAATTTTAACAAATCATGAAAATGATCAAATGCTAATGGAGAACTAAGAAAATGTCTGAGCAAAGAATAGGGTATTTCCCACCTGAAGAGAAAATATGAGAGAGAAGATATCAGAAGTATGGAGAGGAGTCTAAGGGAAATTTAAGGAAAATTAAAAAATAGAAAAACAACTAAAATAGTATCAGTCGGGCTTGTCGACAGATGTAAACCTCCTTGCCATAAGTTATGATTATTCAAACTATTGACCCTTTATGGTGAAAGTTCCGAAGCAGTTGGATAATATTGACAAATTCATATCTGACCTAAGACTGATAAAAATATTACAAAGTGCCAGATTTTTATTATATCGACTACTTCCTATACGTTATATGAGATATAGCAGAACATAGCATCCTCCTTATTTCTTTATATTTGGCTGAAAACCACAAGTGGCCATCGCAAGAGCACTCCAGCATTTAAATGTGAATAAATCTTTTGTGTCTCTTACCATCGCTCGTTATCGTGTTACTCGTATCGTAGCACGACGTCAGGGAAGTGGACGGAAGAAAACAGCAACATCAGCAGAAATGGTTCGAAAAGTAAAGAAGCGACTTGATCGAAAGCCACGTCGCAGTGGCCGAAAAATGGCTAAAAACGGCAAATGTTGAAAAATGAGCTCGGGATAAAGCCATTGAAATTCCAAAAAGTGCAAGAACTTACACCGCCACAGAAAGATAATAGACTCAAAAGAGTTAAAGAGTTGCTTTGCTTGGCCGAAAGCGGTGAACTGCCGAATTTGGTTTTCTCCGATGGAGAAACATTCGTTGTCCAGCAGTTTGTAAACAAACAAAACTTGCCAAAGAGGTCAGCTGAAAATGTGCACCATCGGTTGACCACCAGAACTCAAGCGCCGCCGTAACAGCCAATGGTCGCTCTTCGCTCGTAATAATCGTCCGTGGCATCAGAATAAATGCCGAATGTTATCGCGAAAATATTCTGGAGGGTGTATTAAGGCCTTGGGCACGTACACATTTTGGCCGCAAACCTTGAACATTTCAACAGGACTCAGCGCCATCGCACTCAGCACGCGCCACCCAAGAATGGTTACAAAAAGAGGTTCCTCGCTGCATTTCTAGCGCACAATGGCCACCAAAATCTCCGGATATCAATCCGTTGGACTATTGTTTCTGGAGTATTTTGGAAAGCAAGGTTGGCACTAAAAAATACCAAGGTGTCGATCACCTCAAACAAGCGCTTCGCCGGGAATGGGCCAAAATACCGCAGAGTAACATTCGGGCAGTGTGTGACATTTAAAAAAAATGTAAAAATTATAGCGTTTGACTTTGTTGCAGTTTTTTTATCTCACCTTGTATACCATCTCTAGCCATGTGGCTGAGGATATAAAAAACGAAATTCATGATTAAGGTGTTTTTCGGTTTCATTTTCGAATCATTAAAATATTCAGGTCCTTCAAGAAATGTGATTTCTTTCAAATCACCGACCCAAACTTTCAATACCCTCCACCGTTTGGGAGGAACAAAATTTAAAAATTGGGGCTAAACAAAAACTTGGGCCTCTATAGCCAATTATGTGCCAGTGAAGCCGGCGCCTATTATGAACCAATTCGGAATACAAAGATGAAGGCTACAAAAATACAAAAAAATTAAAACACTGATAATGATTATAAAATATATCGGATCCTCATTGCAATTTAATATCCTTTCAATCTTTTCGATCTATCTTCATTGTCTATGGAAACTATTTTTGCAAAATTATTTCCAAAAATTGAACTGCCACTAAAAATACGCAAAAATAAAATATACATTTTTATTATTGATTTCTATCCTGCTGTTAAATGTTTTCAATTACAAGATTTTAAGTTTTGTGTTTAGATCGTAGCAGTGCCATTAAATCAATTGCAAACAAGTGAAATAATTCAACATTTTCGAGTGGGTGGTGGGCGTTGGGTGGTAGTGTGTTTGTGTACCGCTGCTAATCAACAATTAATTCAACAAGCGATTAAATAAAAACTTGCTCACACAATGGGCAATCGCAGGTGAATTAAGTTGTTATTCGAATAAAAAATAAATATATTTTGAAATTCAAAATATGTATATCGGATAAACATGACGAAAGTCTAGCAATAGGTGATTTGTGAGAAAGTGGATGAGTAGTATTTTTCCCAATACAAACTAAAGACAAGCATTTGTCTCTCAACTATCTGAAATAGCTAAAAAAGTGTTTTTCTTCCCTTAAAATAATATGATTGAACCCTGGTGTTAAAAATGTAAACTATAATTTTATATTTATGTTACATCTAAGACACGAACACATATTCACAATAGCAATATTAATAGCAATATTTACTATGAACATGTAGATGGCGCTATGAAGTAAATATTCAACATAAAGTTAAAACTTACCAAATTAATAGGGTTGCCGACACATCTTCTGCAGGGCAAAAAAATATGGACAAACGGGGAAGAAATGTCTACAAAGAAAAAAATATTATTTTTTTTATTGAGTTTCATTGAAACTTTCTTATAACAAAATATTTTTTTTGTAACAAAAATGTCAAAAAATTTTTCACGTCGCGCCCACAGTTGGGAGATACCAAATGTTTTTCTCAATGCTCTTTTTGATGTTTTGCCCAATTTCCCTAAGTTTCATTTGAAATGAATTACATCACTTAAATTTCAGAAAATATTTTAATTCATTTTGAAATTCGGAAATTTCACTTTATATTCAGAGTTTGAATTTTTTTTATATTTTTGCATCCCTATCTGACACATGCCTTCGACGCTTTTCACCTCTGAACACATGTATTATAATGAATGTTACCAAAATATGTCGGACTTACAAATGTTTAAAGTTTAACAATTCAAACATTAACAGAACTTATTTTTAAAAATATTCAAAATTTAAAGGCATTAAAAATGTAAATGTGTGCAATTGTAAAAAGTTACAGTTTTGAAATACTTTTGCATTTATAAAATTGTTCTGTGATTTTATTTGATTGCATTGAAGATATGGGCCTCTTGTTTTTGCATAATACGGTCCTACGGAACATTTTACCATTGTGGGGTTGATATTTTTGTACGGTGCATCGGGTATTAGTTAGGCCAATCATAAATATATTGAGTTTTAAAATGAAATATCTAAATTCCAAATATAATATTTCAGAAATTCAGAATTTTAATTGAGGAGCATTTCAAATTATTAAAGTTGTTATTCTGCCTGTAACACCATCAAATGTTCGTCGAAAATTCCATAAAGTATATATATTCGTGATCAGATTTAACGACACCCATCCGATTCTCTGTCTATTGAAATCAAGATACAACCAATATTATGTGATGAAGAGCTTAGAAATTTTGCATACTAGTTTGCATTGAGTCTAGGATAGTTGCCAATGAACGGTATAAACCAGTCTCCGTATTCGATTTTTTTTCTCTTTTTGCACAACCAAAAATGTTTTAACAGTAGTGGAAACTTCGGTCCACCGGTCCGGTACCTCAAGCACATTTCAAAACTTCCCAAAAAGTTATCACAAGTCTTATATAAAGTGACCGAGGTCAAATGCTCACAGCTCATTATATTGTTTACAAGCATACAAAAGCATTTTGGTGAGAATTTTCGAGAAAAAAAGTTATTCGTGGTGGAATTCAAGCGTGTTAGTGTGATTTCTTTATATTTGGCGAGAAAATCACAAGTGGATATCGTTAAGGCACACCAGCATTTAAATGTGAATAAATCTTTTGTACCTACCTTTATCGTACCATCGCTCGTTACCGTGGTACTGGTAGCATAGCCCCATGTCAAGGAAGTGTACTGAAGAAAACAGCAACGTCAGCAGAAATGGTTCGAAAAATAAAGAAGCGACTTGATCGAAACCCGCGTCGCAGTGGCCGAGAAATGGCTCGTGAGCTGAACATATCGCAATATTCCATTCGGCAAATATTGAAAAATGAGCTCGGGGTAAAACCATTGAAATTACAAAAAGTGCAAGAATTTACACTGCAACAGAAAGAAAATAGACTCAAAAAAGCCAAAGAGTTAAAGAGCTAAAGAGGTTAGCTGAAAATGTGCACCTTCGGTTGGCCACCAGAACTCAGGCGCCGGCCATGGTGATGGTGTGGGCCGCCATAACAGCCGATGGTCACTCTCCGCTCTAATAATCGACCGTGGCATGAGAATAAATGCCGAATATTATCGCGAAAATATTCTGGAGGGTGTTTTAAAGCCTTGACCGCAGAGCTTGGAAATTCCAAAAATTGATCTTACAAAACCCCAATCGTAGATGATATTTTTCGTGGATTTCTCAAAAAAAAAATCCTAGATGACAATCGCACCCACTATTTTCAAGGACCATCAAAGTCAACGTGAGAAATTTATGCAAATATGTTATGAAAACTTATTTTAGGGATGGCATTTAGAATTAGTGTTTTTGTTCAGGAAGAAAACACTTGAATATTTTTGAAATTTTTTTAATTTTTTGGTCTAAGTGTTTTCAAGATGTTTCCTTTGATCTCACAATGTTTAAATATGTGAGATATATTTGGTGGTATACTACGGTTGGAGTTAAAAAATTTTGCCGAAAATTCTGCCCTTTTCATGGCCACCCTAGACAAAGTCCATAATTTGAATACATATTTTTAATATTTTGACCCAAATCTAAGTTGGTATAATTTCTTCAAGTATTTAAAATACCAATTTATTTCGAATAGGTTACCCTAACACAGTAGATTTCTCACCACGCATGGTTGAGAGATTCGGTATGTCAGTATAATTAGCAAAGTCAAAAACCAACCGCTATAGGGCGATTCAAAAATGTGGAAATATATAAATGGGTGACACGTCGTAGCTGATTGGAATGAAATAACTTTTCTATATTTTTTGAGCAAAAAAAAATATATTTTTGATTTTTTCCAGAGAAAAAATGCAACTAATCTCCTTCACGACTATAGGTGCAAGCAATTTCATATATTTCATTTTTAGAACATTTAGAAGTTTGAATTTTCAATTCAATTGAATTCCTTTAATTATATATTAACCATTTATATTTATTCCAATTTTTCTCACTTTACAGCGAACAGGAACATTTCATATCGGAGCATACGGTAATGGCTGTCTTTACGTCACAGGGCCAGGTGGGTGGACCGTGTCGTTATATGCCGGCAACCCGAAGACAAAATCATCAGTGTCGCAAAGAGTTCGGTTTACCCGATACCATACGCGAAGCACGGCGACTGGCCACCACTCATTGTGAGGATCAATTTCGTTATGATCGCTGGAATTGTTCCATCGAAATAAGGGGCAAACGGAATATCTTCAAAAAACTCTATAAGGAAACGGCATTTGTACATGCGCTGACAGCTGCCGCTATGACACATTCCATAGCGCGTGCCTGTTCCGAGGGACGTATGACCAAGTGTAGCTGTGGACCGCGCAAACACAATCGACCCGATCAGACATTCGAATGGGGTGGCTGTAATGATAATTTGAAACATGGCAAGCGGGTGACGCGTAGCTTTTTGGATTTGCGCGGTGGAGAGAGTGATGAGGTGACCGAGATATTACGACATGATTCTGAGGTAAGAGAAGAGAAGAGAAAATAAGGTGGTTTTTGAGAATTCAGATGATAATGGTTTTTTGTTTTTATAGGTCGGTATTGAAGCTGTCTCCACCATGATGAAGGACAAATGCAAATGCCATGGTGTTTCGGGCTCGTGCTCCATGAAAACCTGTTGGAAAAAACTGGCCGATTTCAATGCCACAGCCACTTTGCTGAGACAGAAATACAACCAGGCAATACGAAAGGCGCCCAACACACGCACAATACGCAGAGAGGCTACCTCGAGTCGTGTCAAAAAGCCCAAGCAGCGACGAAAGAAAGTGAGTAGAAGAGAAGAGAAAAGAGAGAATTTTAGCAATGAGAGTAATTAATAATAAATATTTTGTCTCTTTCCTCCCCCTCAGCAACAATCCCAATACACCACGCTGTACTATTTGGAGACATCGCCCACATATTGTTCCGTCACCAAGGATCGCCAGTGTCTGAACCAAGACAATTGTGCGAATCTTTGCTGTGGGCGTGGCTATGTAACGCGCGTCTTCAAACAGGTGGAGAAATGCCGATGCCGTTTCAACAATGGACGCTGCTGCCAATTGATTTGTGATTATTGTCAACGCTACGAGGATCGATACTTTTGTAAATAGATTGATTATTATTTTTAAAATAAAAAAATATTTTGTATTTTTAAGCTTCCATTCTACACAATGACTTCTCTGCTACTTCTCTCTAACATTAATTGAATCTAAAAAAAATTTAAAAAAATTCACTTTAAATCTTTTCTCAAATCGTACGAATCGTGGCGATTTAGGCAAACAAAGGACTTTTAAGGATGTGTTTTTTTTTTAACTATTTCTATTATCATTTTTGTATTGTATTTTATTTCATTCCTATTTATAAATGTGCGTGTGTGTATGTTAAACGAATAGTTCATAGACAGAATATTAAAACATAATAATAAAAAAAAAATACAATTAACTAAAGAAAAAACTCGAAAAGAAATCGAACAAAACCAACAGCAAAAAAAAATTGAATAGCATTACAGCAGAACAGAACAGGCGAATTGAAGAAAAAGAACTGGCAAAGAAAAAGGAAAAAAAGTATTTAAAAAAATCAAATAACTCATCAAAATGTTTAGACACATTACAACATCAGACCCCTCTCCTCCTATCCTCCTCCTTCTTCTCCACCACCCCCAATCTTCATCATCATATGACTCGTATAATGAAGGCATAACTCTTGTATTAAAATTAAAAATAACAAATAAATTAATAATATTTTTATTATTTAATTGTATGTAAAGATAATGGAAACAAAAATCAAACACACAGACGAAGAAAAAAACAAGAAAAAAAAAACGAAAAACTCTCAAAATCTTTCACAAAAAAAATCACATGAAAAAAACAACAACAACAACAAAATAATCATATTGTAACTTTAAACTCTTTTTAATTTATAAAAAAATATATTATAAGAAAAACAACAACAACAAACCAAAAAAATAAAGAAACATTTTCAAATAAAAATCCAATAAAAAATAAATCATTAATTTTTGTTATTTAATTTGAAATGACATCAAAATGTCTGGGTACCATAGGAAAACTTTATTCACAAATTTAAATATTTCAAAATACTTATCAAAAATCTTAGTATTTTGAGAATATGAAAAGTACTAAAAATTAAGGTATCATATTAAATGTTTCTAAAGGACAATTTTGTTGTCGACATTAAAATTTTAATAGAATTTGACCCATTGAATTCTAAATACGGCAACTTGAATCCGAATTTTGAGTAGTTAAATATAAATGCGAAATTTTTGCTAATGATATTCTATTGACATTTCTTAATTTTATTGCAATCTTTAATTAAAAAAAATATTGGTTATGAAACTGCTGCAATTTTTCGGAAATGGACGAAAGTTTTCAAACATTTAATGAAAACCAAATTTTAAACAGTAATTTAAAAAAGTAAAAAAAGGCCGTGCCGAACTTTGAATACCCTCTACGATTTGGAACGAATTTGGCAATTTTCAAAAAAATTGAAATCCGTTAAAAATTCTGTTAAAATATTAAAAATACCGAATGTAGCCGTATATTAGGCTCTATACGACGACATGGACCTGCACGCCCAACTTTTGTCATAAGCTATTACAGTATTCAAATGCGAAACTTGAAAAAAATCTGTTTATAATGTAGGTAAAATCATCAAAATACCGAATATATGGAGGTACCATGGGGGTTATAAAATGTGGACCAGCACAAACAATTTTCTCTCATAGGCTGTAGTATCCATTTCAAACCTCAAATACCAAGTTTGAAACAATTGCGATGAATATTGCCGCTAAAATCATTAAAATACCGAATATCGGGAGGTACCGTTATATGGGGGCTATATGAAGACGTGGACCTGCACAAACAATTTTCTGACTTAGGCTGTAGCACCCATTTCGAATTTCAAATACCAAATTTGAAACAATTCCGATGAATATTGTCGCAAAAATCGTCAAAATACCGAATATCGGGAGGTACCGTTATATGGGGGCTATACCAAAACGTGGACCTACATGGCCAAAAGTCCTGCAGACATAATACGCACATTTTATCAACTTATCGTTCGGAAACTAGAGTGATTTCCACAGACGGATAGACGGACGGACAATGTTAAATCGACATAGAATTTTATGCTGATATTTCGAGGTGTTACAAACGGAATGACAAATTTAATATACCGTCCATACTATGGTAGAGGGTATAAAAACTGCAACAAAGTCTAACGTCATAATATTTCCTTCTTTTTAAATTTTATTGCATGAAGGCAAAAAATGTCGGAAATAGCATCATGGCCGGCGCTTGAGTTCTGGTGGCCAACCGAAGGTGCACATTTTCAGTTGACCTCTTTTTCATGTAAACATGTTCAATTTGTTTATTTTTTTTACAAACTGCTGGACAACGAATGTTTTCTCATCGGAGAAAACCAAATTCTGCAGTTCACCTCTTTCGGCCAAGCGAAGCAACTCTTTAGCTCTTTGGAGTCTATTTTTTTCTGTTGAGGTGTAAGTTCTTGCACTTTTTGGAATTTCAATGGCTTTACCCCGAGCTCATTTTTTAATATTTGCCGGATGGAATATTGCGATATGTTCAGCTAACGAGCCATTTTTTGGCCAATGCGACGTGGATTTCGATCAAGTCGCTTCTTTATTTTTCGAACCATTTCTGCTGATGTTGCTGGTTTCTTCCGTCCACTTCCTTGACGTCGGGCTACGCTACCAGTATCAGATATGCACGAGCGCATTTAAATGCTGGAGTGTTCTAACGATAGTCACTTGTTATTTTCCAGACAAATATAAAGAAATCATACTATCCCGCTTTAATTCCATCACAAAAAAACTTTTTTCTGGAGAATTCTCACCAAAATGCTTTTGTACGCTTGTAAACAATGTAATGAGCTGTCACTGGAATAATTTTAATAGTTTTCGGACGAGTGGCTTTGAAATGACAGCAGTCTGAAGTTGGTTGCAGTTTTTTCATCTCACCTCACCATGTGAAGCTCCCCAAAAAATGACAACATTTTCACAGAACATAGTTTTCCGTACACAACAACAACGGATCAACAAATGTTGTTCAAAATTTTTAACAAAATATTTGTATCCGGGCAATGTCAGGCGCGAAAATGGACAATATAGACCCACTCCATCATGTACCTCCCACGCAATTGGTCAAAATTTTGAATAATTATAATTCTTATTAAATACGAAATAAGCAGCCGATTCACTTCAAATTTTACATATGCCAAGACCTGATGTGAACATTTGCTATATCGGCCCACTCCTGCTGGTTCCTCCTTACAAAATTCTAAATAGTTATTAGGCTCATAAAATGCGAAATGAGCATTAGATTAATTTCAAACTTGGTACATCACATTTCTACTTACAAAAGACCTGTGGTGAAGATGGGATATATCGATCTACTCCTTCTGATACTCCCCCACAAAGGGCCAAAATTTTGAATAGTTATTAGGCTCATAAAACTGTGTAGTAAGCATCTGATTCCAATCAAATTCCACACTTACAAATAGAAATAGAAATCAACACATAGTCAAGTGTGAAGATGAAATATATCAGGCCACTCCTTCGGGTACCTCACCCACAAAGGGTCAAATTTTTGAATAATGATAAATGAATGATAAATTTCGATGTCTAGCTAGTTTTGTAACAAATAATCTTCTTTGGTATTTGAAGTAACGCTTCCTCCCTATTTACGGTATTTTGATGATTTTAGCTATATTGTCACCATTTATTTTAAGTTTCGAATTTGAATATGGTAATGGCTTATGACAAACGAAGCCTTTTTAGGTCCACGTCGTATAGACCCCAATATAGCAGCTAAATTCGGCATTTTTAAGATTTTAACAGAATTTTTAACGGATTTTATTTTTTGAAAATTTCCAAATTAGTTCCAAATGGTGGAGGGTATTCAAAGTTCGGCCCGTCCGAATTTACTGCTTTTTAACTTGTTAGTTAGTAATTTTCGTACCCTTGAAAAAGGAATATCTATATTGTACCTTTTAGTACTTTTCGTTCCCCTAAAAAATAAATTTCTAAAAATTCCGCCATAAGAATTGTCTAAAAACCACGAATTTTCAAAAATCTCGTTTTATCCCACCAAGCGAAAATTCCTACACGTCGATAGGTCAGTCTATCATCTTTCCCCTTTTAGAGGGGTGCTCGGCCATTCTTTTCCATCGATTTGGCTGAAAATTTGTGTTTTGGTGTAAGGGATGTACAAAAACTTCCTTGCAATTTAAGTGGGCCTGTGATTAACAATTTATTGTCTTGCAGGCCATGTTTTTGCAGAAAAAGTATAACCATTGATAGCAAAAACGCTTCTTTTTTTATCTTATAAAGATAATAAAACTTGGTCACTTATCTTGGCACACTTCATATCTATTTGTGCTTCTGGTAATGATTGGTATTTGGTTTAAGGTTATCTAAAATACCCTGCTAACCGAATTGCCCATCATCTTTAAACATGTTTATTTTTTGTTTTCATTTCTTTTGATTTGTTTAATTCAATTATGCGATAATCGAGTAAGTTTATATTATTAAAACAATAACAACAACGAAAATTAAAACCACTTCACACAAAAGAACCAATCACCCATCAACTGATTGAGGTCAGTTACACCTGGTGCAAACTGGAAAATTGTAGGAAAACCAAGACAACCGAACCGATAAGTCTGAAAAACAAAACAAATAATACAAAGCACGACCACGTCAATCATCATCAATTAAAATTATTTAACATAAAAATGTCAACGCAGAATGGGAGAATAAATTAAATTAAGAAGAAGGTTTAATTTTTGGCAAGTGTTTCATTTTTCTCTGTAATTTTTTGTCAAGCGGAAAGTTGCCATGAAGAATTATTAAAAAATACACATATATTTTTAAATTTATATAAAGGTGCGTAATTATAGACGTCATAATGAAATGAAATATAATTAATAAAATGTAGGTGTATATTAAAAGTTATTTTTGTGTACATCTTTGAAAGCCATTTTACCCCAACCAGGGAAGAAGTGGCGAAAAACCAGTCATGTCGGTACTTTTGTTGTTATCTCTTGTTTTGATACAGTTAACACCTTCGAATGATAAAATTAAACATTTCCAAGGACCATCCACTAAAATACCAGCTAAACATTTTTTATTGTTGCAGTAAAACTTTATGTCAATAAATTAAATAATAATTTTCAAAAATGATTTCGACGTATTTAATAGCGTTTTTAATATACATGTCAATAATTAAAGAAGAAATTTGAATTTTTTTTTGCAATTTTGAACAGGCAATATTTGAAATTAATTTTTTATGAGATCTAAAGGTGAGAACACAAAGACGAAGTTTTCTTCTGGCATAAGTCAATGGCTATTGGATAAAAAACCAAGGAGCGTAGGGTGGACAAGTATTATTATGGGCCGAAACCACGATTGTCCACCAATGATAATTCAGCCCGATGATAATTCACTGTAGTTTTAGATTACCATCACACCATCAACATATCGAAAGTCAACGTCACTGTATCGTAATTCCTGATTATATTCAAACCGTATATACCAGATGACCATAAGTACCCGATTACCATCAAACTGTCAAAATCCCGAACGCCAGGTCGGGATATCGCACCCAAATGCCAGTGGTACGTAAAGTGCAAAAAGTTACTAATTATGGTACAGTGAATACAGAGCGATTGGGAAATACCTAATTTTTGGTGATTTAGCGATGTCCGTCTGTCTGTTGAAATCACGATAGAGTCCACTAGTAATCTAGAGCTTTGAAATTTGGCAAAAAAGTTTTTATTATATTCAGACTGATTGGTATTTAAAATGGACTATGTTGGTCCACGTTTAGATATAACCCCCATATAAAAGGTACCTCACGATTTTCGGTTTTTTGAAAGTTTCTGCCACAATTTCCAAGATAAATTAGCTGAAACTTGACAATTGGGATTCTCGGTTGGTCTGTTCTATCTCTCTCTCTCTCTCTCTCTCT